TGCATGATTTTCATATAGGGCCAAGTTCCAAGTAGCATCATTAAAAGTCTTTTGATGAAAAATCTATGTCAAATGCGAATCCATTCAGAGGGGAGTAGTGCAAACCTTAGAGTCGATATTGGGGCCAGTTTGTAGAAGTTTCATTTTGGACCAACTAGACATCATCAGAACGTTCAAGATTTAAAAAAAAATTCTAAATGAAGTAGTAATATTAGGTTTTCAAGACGGCAATCACTTTACTGAAATTAGACATCAACACTATTTAAGTTATGACAAACAAAATATATTATAACAGTAATATGAACAAAAACGCATTATATTAAGTCGTCTGACAAATAGTTGGTATAACTTTCCATTTCCATGTGTTTCCCAGATGGCTGCAATGGTGGTCATACTTGATACAAGATCCGCGTCATTTGCATTTATGATTATTTATTCATCATTAGAAGCCCTCTGGTGATAATTCAATGTTGATGTGACCAGACATCTGGTAAAATAGTGACATACCACTTTCCAAGATGGCTGCTGTGGTGGCCATATTAGACATCAAACTTGTACCATCCTCGTTTAGGCACAAAATTCATGTCCACTTGAAAGAAATAAACCTTACACAGAGAAAGTGACAAAAGCATTAAATATAAAATAATTGGATATATTGGATATATTACTATACAAATATTTCTTACAGCTCTAACTATTTTCATTATTAAGTTTTATTGTCCCCAACCTTACAGCATCTTTCATCTCTACAGGTTCTTGCTCTATGTTGCCCTCTATCTCACCCGTTTTGACCTCGTTCTTGTTACAGTTGCCCTCTATCTCCCGCATTTTGACCTCGTTCTTGTTACAGTTGCCCTCTATCTCCCCCGTTTTGACCTCGTTTTTGTTACAGTTCCGCAGGAGAAGAGTGCCAAATCCAATAATGCAAAAAATCAACATCAAAGAACCAAGTACTATGACATAAATATCACTACCTGACAGTTGCCTCGATTTACCATGGTCCTTTGTAGCAGGAGTTCCATTGATGATTTTCATACATTCCAATGTTTGCTTCGTTGTTAAATTGATATATCATATCATGTAGTTGTTCCCATTAAACAAACTGTATCGCAATTCCATTTTATTTTCAGTAAGGCTTTCAAACACTTTTTGCTTCTTTCTTATTTCAGCCTCAGGGAATGACGAAATAGCTGTTTCATTGATCCACAGACGGTAGACTTCACCATTTGTAAACGAGTCTCGAAGACTTTTTTGGCGAAATGAAATGTTTATGTGTTTTTCCTCTAATGAGTCTGGAACAGTCATTAGAAGGCCGTCATAACATGTAATGTTTTTGTCAATATTACTCATATAGCCATAGCTGCAGCTAAAAGTAAGTGTCTCCCCATGGAGAAGTTTGTTTTTAGACCAAATGTGTCCATTATTTGGGTCAACTGGCATTCGACAGCTACACAGGCAGGCAAAAATTTATCCTGACCAGTTTCCAGTGTCATTAAGCAAATAACTACCATTTTGTGACTTGGGATCAAAATCTCTGACATTGTCAATGCATGTAACTTTTGCTGCTCTGTTACTAATGTCATCTCTGATCCTAACTGTATGAGATGCGTCATTGACGAGATGAAATCCTGCCCCAGGAAAAGCTGTAATGCACATCAGCACTATCCCATAAAATGATGAAATTTCTTGAGATCACTGTGAAAGATCTCTGTAAATATGAAAGATGAAACAATTGAAAGTTTACTTTGTTTCTTTAATTTTTTACAAAACAATTACACAATTAGATCTGAAGCTCTTTTATGCCCTGTTTTGAGGTAGGGGGTCAAATGTTGACAATAGGACTTGACTGTGATAATAGATGCAGTGCCACAAAAAGAAGTGACAGTTTAATTTATATCTACAAATACTGGAACTGGAAAAAACAGTTAAAATAACTCATTTTGATTGGAAGTGACACTAGTTTAAACAGACTAGTTCTGGAATTGGTTTAGACGTAATTGGAGCTTGTTGCTCAGCTTTATCACAAACTGGTCCACAGTGGATCTTCCCCACAGTATGAACAGAACATCTGCTAAATATTGGTGCATAGACCACTCTGTAGTGACTTTCGTCCCTTCCCTTGGTATATTGTCCACCAGAATCTTCTTCTGGCTAGGAATCTGACAAACTCGAAGAGAAATCCGTTATGCGGTGGCCAAGCGAAGGAGGTTCCAAACATCTTCACGAAGAGATGGATCGTGTATGTTGGGTTGCCTAGTCACATGACCAACGTGGTATTGCAGAAGATCATACAGTAACTTAATATTGTGTCGACAAACTCCTCAAGGGCTACAGATACCTCTCTCATTTCATGAACCCTGAAGAACTGATCCATCTGGATGCAAGTGCGTGTCGCAACCTGCATTGACTGTATCCATGATCAGACAGAAGTGGGATTGGGGGGATACATGGATACTCCAGTTTGAACACTGTCATAATTTATACACTAACTAAAGTGATGGTGAAAGTCTGGTCCTAGAGAAAGCTAAGCAGTCAGAGGATACCTGTGTAGTTACCAGTATACCAAAAAGGAGATTGAAGAGATATGCATAGATGAGCTGTCAACTAGGTCTTGGTTTACTTGAAATATCTATGATTAAATAAAACTCTCCACCTTTTCCAAATATCAGCAAGGTCCTAGAATAGAAGGCCAGAGAATTGTTTAATATCATTCTGCAGAATGGAGAATACTTTTTATTTAAGGCAACCCAGATTTAAAATGTAAAACTGCATCGAAGGTGTCCTTGCCAGAAGAGGATATTCTCAGAACAGACCCTTATGATGGAGAGGACTCACCTATTCTGCAATATTACAGGTATTAATGGAAGAGAGATACATTGCAGAAGAAGTTGTGAACCCCTAGGAATGTCCCCGCCCCGCTTTATGCTGTTGGTCCATCATGTCCTGTAAAACCACATAGAGAACGAGACCCTCAATTGGAGTCATTTTCTCTTCCACATATGTGCTGAGCAAAGTCCTACACTTCATATGACCAGAGCCACAAGAACGGAAAAGGCAGCTGAGGTGTCACATTCAGCCTTCTATGTTTAATATTCCCCAACAGTTGGTTTAGATAGAGTACATACAAATAAAGCATGAAACGAAGAACAATAATCATTACAATGAATATAAAATTTGTGATATTTCAATGGTCATGCAATGTACTGACAGCAGTACTTCATATGCCTCTGTCAGTTATGAAGATGATTTAGTGGTGTTAGTCCTGTGATAACCAATCTAGAATTATCATAAAATTGTGTACACAAGTAACAAATATATGTGTATGACCAGATTACATAAGACTAAACTCTGTGTATGACCAGATTACATATCTATGACTATATGTAACAGCCAAACTTTAACGTTTTTACTAATAACAGTCCTCGGGAGAATTGAATATTCCAAAAAGGAGTGGAGCATTTTTAGAAAACAATAATGAAATCTAAAGTTGTTCTTTTTATGTACTTTTAGAATCACCCCATGTACATCTGTGTGTGTGTGTGTGTGTGTGTGTGTTTGTGTGTGAGTGTGAGTGTGTGTGTGTGTGTGTTTGTAAATATTGTAAATATCAAAACTGTTTTGTAAACATCAATCGATCAACACATTTTTCCACTCAGCAGCTGATTGAACCCTTCGAACTTCATTCCCAGCTAGTGTGCCATGCCACAACTAGGGGTCTATAGGCCACTGAATTCAGTCATTGCAAACGATTTCAACTATGGCGCAAGTCAATATTAAAGCAAAAACGATTCATGGTACGTTTTAATTTGATCTTGCAATCTTTTAAAAAAGAGGACAGGAGTATAACTCATCCATATATAGAGTAAAAATAACCTGAACATGTTGTGGATTTTGCACAAGATGACTTCTCAGATAATAGTACCCATCCTTAATTAGCCTTAATCAGTATAGTAACTAGTAAAATCTGGTAAATCCAAGACACAACTCTTTCACCAGCAATGTCATTTAAATAAAAAAATAGCTAGTTTGGAAACTTCACCTGTACTGCAGTGATTAGTTGGTAGCTCAGACTGGTGTGGTACATCATGGGGGAAAATGTATGCCTATAGATTCACTAGCATTGAATATGGAATGTGGTCTCGTGAGCACTCTGAAAAAGAAAATAAATCACTGGAAATGGCATTGAAGTTTTAAAATCTGCTTATGGAACTAAAAGGGAAAGATAAAAAACAATTCATATTGGTCATCTCCATCAAGTCACCTCGTATCAGTGCTATAAGAGTAAAAGAATTTGATGTGCACATTATGTCATTTGGGAAACAAGTTAAATGTATTCCAGCTAAGTATTTCAAGGAGTTTTTCTGATCACTGGTTTAAAGTCTAGAGCTTGTTTAGAATTTATTTTGCTTAACTTTTATATCTTCATCAACAGTGTGAGCAGGTTCTGGAATTATACATTTAAGAAACTACCAAATGCCAAGATTAATAACGAAAGAGAGACATAAATAAATTTAAATACTTTTGTAAAGTTCTTAGGAAAATACTGCCTTTAAAAAAATATATTACGTTTTAGATATTACTTTCAACCAGCATCAGTAATGTACGTTTTGAACTAATCATAAGGCGCTGTGTTAACACATTATGAGGTAAGTTTGCAGAAGTAAATTTCTTACATAAATGTCCTACATTTAATAGTCACCTGCCATCTGCAGTTAGTGGCTAGGTATTTTCTAACCCACGTTGGTTTGTTGCTGCCTTAAGTGGTGTGATTATGATTTTTAACGCAACTTTAACAATTTTTCAGTCATATCACTACGATGTCTGCAGTGTTTCAGTTTTTAGTGAGGTCTAGCACTGGGGCATCATGCTGCACACATGTAGCATGATGTCACACCCAGTCACAATATCCTGACATCAGGCCGACCAGTCCTAACACTAACCTCTTAATACTGGGCGCCAAGCGAGGCAGCTGTTAGTACCATTTCTGTAAGTCTTTGGTATGACTCGACCGGGGATCGAACCCAGGACATCCCGCATCCAAGGTGGGAGCACTAACCACTAGGCCAACAGAGCAGTTCGTCCCTGCCTTAAGTAGCCACTGGAGTATGCCAATAGCTATTGATGTAATTATGCTGATTAAACAAGATTTTCAAGATGGCTGCCTTGGTGGCAATAATAGACATTAAATTAGTACCATTTCATTGAAGACATCATAAAACTCTTAGTGAAATATATTTATTTTGTGAAATGGCTGATAATGTACATTCCATCACGCCTTTATTCTGTCTCCTGTAGCTAGATGACTGTTATTTGGAATATATCATCAACCAACCGTGCCGCTTAATATTTCATTCAGACCACAGCGGTCATTTGTGCGATACAACTATATGATGATCTAACTTTATTAGTTTGGGTTTATTTCACAATCAATCACTTCCATTCAGGCATTATGTGATCGCTGACTTCGTACAAGATTTAACAAAACTGAAATTTGAATAAAATATATTTGTAGCAAGAAACTTCTCGATATTTTTTTCAGGTAACACATTAGAATTGTATAAAACAAATTGCTATTGTCAATGTTGACCCTGTTTTTCGTTGTCGTCTCTTTCTTTTTACTTGTCTGAGTCTGTTTTATTTCTTTGTTTGTATTACTGTTATTTTCACTCCAGATACTTTCTTCTCTTAGCTGCTTCTTTTATGCAATTATGTCATTGCTTGTGAAAATTAGACGAGTAGTTAAATTCTTTTAGTTTTTACATCGACATTACCTTTGGCCTAAGAAACCATACTTTAAAAGTTGAGTCAAGTTTAGGCAATATTCTAAAATTAACTATTCGATTATCTTTGCAGACGAATATTATGCCAGCATCCGAATATGACTAGTTCGTTTTGCACAATTTTCAATTGTTTGTATTGGCAAACTTTCTGGTACAGAGTGCTGATTAAATTTGGCATAGTTTCTTCTTACGTATGCACATTTTATGGAAATATTTCTATCAGTACAAATGTGACATCATTTGCATCCATCGTTCGCTTTCACATACAAATGGGAATAAAAATGACAATTTCTATTTCATCGTATCGCCAATAATACATACCAACAATAACAGGAAAGAAAAACAAACAAAACAAAAAGGGAGAAAAAGAATCTTAATTTTTCAATTGATTGTAAAGTAGACTTATGCAGACTAAACAAATTAGCATTACTCAAAACACACGTGCATAAGGTACTGTGTGTGTGTGTGTGTGTGTGTGTTACAGCGCAACAGTCATTACGGCGACAGTTTGTTATCACTGGGTAGTCATTATATCGATAGCAGCATTAGTTTTACACAATTTGTGTCACCCTAATATTTACTAGCATTGTTTACCTTGCCTTGATGACTGATTCACGTGCAGAATTTCATACAAGTGTTATATATTGTCGAATACTATAATTTACAAATTTTAATACTAGATATTCACTTGTTTATTAAATATTGTTAAGAAAACATTTAACCGTGCGTTATGGGTTTGTTTTCTTTCATTGTCAACGAATAATCATGTAGGTGACATTTCCAAATTGCTTATTATTTTATCAAAGTTAATAAATATTTAACGGTAGTATTTTCAAAACGTTTGGTATGCGAACCATCTGTGGTATCTGAAAGTGTTTCAAGGGGTACGTGGCAGAAAATATAACACAAAAATTTGTATAAAAGTAAAACAATATGGCAATTGGAGAAGTGGCATTCCGATAAGGAGTGGTGTTCCAAATGGAGTACGCGAATGTTATAAGTTTGAGAAACACTGTTTTAAGGTGATATAGTTAATTGTTTTGATTTAAAAGTACACTCCCATTAATTATTTTTCTCTCAGATCAAATTTCTCGCCAAAACAGACTACGCGCAGCTTTTTTCAAACACAGTAGAAGAAAACGACCTGTATTTTACAAAAGTCAGTTTTCTTTTAAAGTTGTATTTTGTAAAGAAAACTTAAACTGAACGAACTTAATTGGTTAATAATAAATAAAACATAAAGAGGCCTAACAGAAGCGTATACAAACTGGTTATATATATATATATATATATATATATATATATATATATATATATATATATATATATATATATATGTGTGTGTGTGTGTGTGTGTGTGTGTGTGTGTGTGTGTGTGTGTGTGTTAATATATATTTTATTTAACTTCAGCACACAGCGTATATTTGTTTTATTTTATTCCTTATTTATTTAATGGCCTTTTCGTCTCTTTCCGTAAAATTTTAAATCCGTTTACAACAATGACCTTGAAAGTATGAAGGACATTTATTCAGAGAATGGTGATCATGCATCAAAGCAAATTAATTCCTAGGGCGGGAGTCATAAAATGAAGTTTAAACATAAAAAAGAAAACGGAAAACGTAAAACAAAAAAGAATTTTAAAAATTGGGATCCGCGAGTTTAAAAGGAAGTTGAAGATGAAGATTTAAATAAAGTAAAAAGAATTTTTTTTAAATATGCGTATTTTACTCATGAGATCGTTGGCATGTACGAATGGCTCTTGAAATTCAATGCATGGCGACATCCTTTATTGTTATCGCAATAGCCAGCATCCGTTTTTCAGCTCATCCTACACTCAAGTTTCCGTACTTTGTCTGATTCACGACACCGTCTCAAGCAAATAAGACTGACAGATTCAAGATTTGTTTCGATAAGATAAGCTGTTAACCTGCCCAGGTCATATGCTAATCGGAGATAAGTATCTGAACTAAATTTTGTCTTTCTAAAAGCATAAGTCTTGGACGAAACAAAACCTTGTAACTTAAAAGATAATAGAGTATAACAAAGTTAGGTAGCCAAAGTAAACAAAACTTATACATAAGTAAACACATACATTCAAAGTACAAATTGCCAATATGCATTGATATTTTACATTTTATTCAGTATTTTATTGCATTCTTTTTACTATCGTTGATACTAAATTTCCAACACCATAACTTTAGTTGTATTTCTATCTACAAATCGATAAATATGTATTTCATCAATGGTCCACTCTCCTCAAGTTAATATGTTAACGGCGTGCATATTCTTAGTGCGCTAAGTAAATTACTGGCAGAAACTTGCAAATTCACTGTAAATATGATTGAAATTATTACAGATGTAATTGTTTAAATATTCATAATTCATTGATATATTTTAGGTCGTTGAAGGACGTGTCTTTGTATTAAATGATTCAAAAATGTCAGATAATCGCACTGATCGGACATCCAATAAATGAATCTTGATAGTACTTTATCATTACAATAAAAACGGTGTTGTCCGAATAATTTATGTTTAAGCCCGTTACAAATCGATCATGACCCATTACTTAAAACAGTATGATAATCTAACGGTGAATTTCACCCATTTGAAGAAGGAACATAAGAGATAACTTAATTATATTTAAAACCAAAATGATTGGAAAGCACACAGTTTGAAAGTTGTAAGGAATTCGAGGATCAAAACCCTCTAAAGGATTAAGATATGCTTACGGCTGAATCTACGATCTTGTAAAAAAAAAAAAAAAAAAAAACACTTGAGCTCTCATTTCCATTAACCTGTGGATGACGAAATGCAAACGAGCCAGGCACTGGTAATGTACAGACGATATATCTAGAGAAATCACGCATGATGTATGTTTAGTTTACCGGTCAACATATGCATTTATAAAATTAATTTCTAAAGAAACAAATATAGTTCCGATAATACTATGATCTCTTTGACTCTTTGGGTATACATGATTGCTTCTATGTATGTATCTGTACATCTTTATATAACCTCACGTTTTTGTTGTTACTGCATATATACTTAGATGACGTACCGAGAACTGTGTTAAACTTTTGAAAGTAATTACGTGTCCCTTGTGAAAATTATATTGTTCAGGGGTATGACTGTTTGCACAATTTGAACACTAAATATATAAAAAGAACTCAATGAGAATATTTTTAAAAATACCAAGCTTCACATTAGTATAAATATTTTTTATCCAATTTAAGGGTGGAAATAATTAAAAATTAATATTGCTACCAAAATATTTTAGGATGAAGTAAACGGTGTACACATTGTATGTTTTAACCTATTATAAACATCAGGGTATACCTCTTACATAGTAGAATATTTGAAGTACAGGATATGTAGCCACGACAATAATCATATATGTCAGATATATGGAGTAAAGAGTACTATGCGCATGTACCTGGGACATAGTAACATACATTTAGAAGATGAAAATTGTATACATATGAAACATAGACTCACTGACCACTGTTCGGCCAGCAAACTTCAACAGGCTTTGTCTTGGTTGGGTGACCCACATTTTTACAAATACGATAAATGCCAAATAGTTTGTAGAGATAGTAGAAAATACCTTATTAAACCACTCTATCCATAAAAGCCTCACTCTTCTTCAATAAAGGAAATGTAACAGACGTAGTAGCTGGTCATGATCAACAAGACACTAAAATACACATTGTATGAAGATGACGCAACCCTTGTGCCACCTTCACTGTGCTTTACCGGATAGGGAAGCATTGTGTGGTGCACACAGATCTTCAGTACGAGACAACACTGCTTCATTAACATGGTATGAGACTTAGGAAATCTATGATTAGGTTTTTCAATATACCGGATTTAAATCTAGACATGTGTAGATAGATTTTAGACAAGAAAGACAAAACAAATCTACATGTCTCAAAGCGGTTTGACTTGTTCAAAGGTTTAGTGTGTGTTTGTGTGTGTTTGTGTGTGTTTGTGTGTGTGTGTGTGTGTGTTAATATATATTTTATTTAACTTCAGCACACAGCGTATATTTGTTTTATTTTATTCCTTATTTATTTAATGGCCTTTTCGTCTCTTTCCGTAAAATTTTAAATCCGTTTACAACAATGACCTTGAAAGTATGAAGGACATTTATTCAGAGAATGGTGATCATGCATCAAAGCAAATTAATTCCTAGGGCGGGAGTCATAAAATGAAGTTTAAACATAAAAAAGAAAACGGAAAACGTAAAACAAAAAAGAATTTTAAAAATTGGGATCCGCGAGTTTAAAAGGAAGTT